GTCACTAGCCCACCGTGCGTCCCGCGCCGAGACGCCACCGACGCCGACGCCGAGGATGAGTTAGGGCTCTGGCGGTTCAGCTCCGGGGGTCCCTCCTCCGGTGCCGGCTTGGGGAAGCCGTTGGGGCCCCCCAGGCCGTTGGGCAGCCGCGCGGCGTGGCTGCTGCTTCCCAGGCTCACCGGCGGTGGCGGGTACTCGAAGCGGCTGCGCTGTTCAACCGCGGCGGCGGCGGCGGCAGCGGCGGCTGCGCTGAGGCCGTAGCGCTCCAGGCCGGACGGGGCCGCCAGCACCGCAGGCTTGCTAGAACCATCGACGTGGTTAAGCTGTTGTTGCTGCGGTTGCTGTTGCTGCTGCGCGGCGGCGGCCGCCGCTGCTGCCGCCGCCGCCGCCGCCTCCTTAGCCGACAGGGCCACCGTCTTGACCCCGACGGGCGGCGGCGGCCCGGGGGAGCGGCCGTCCTGGAAGCAACCGTGCGCCCGCTTCAGCTGGCGCGCGGTCTCGATCACGAACTCGATGCGATCGGCGCCCTCGTAGTTGACGCAACCGCGGCATACGGGTTCCGAGAAGTCCCAGATCATGGCCCAGGGCATACGGGGCAGGTCGCACAGGTAGCAGGACTGTCTCCGGGACGAGGACACCTGCGCCGCCGACATGTTGCCAGCCTTGAGGAAGGTAGGCCCCCGCCCGGGCTGTCTCCGCAGCGCGTTCTCCTCTGGGAGGACTGGCCGGCTGGGGAGGGAGTCCGGCAGCGGGGGAAGGAGGGGGGGGGGCGAGAAAGTTCTGCCCCAGGGGCTGGAGGGAGAGCGCAAGTCTCCACCGCCGGCGCTGCGCCTCTCTGCGGGGGCTCCACCGGCCGAGCGGCGAACGAGTTCAGCCCGCTCCTCGCCCCCACCTCCTACTGCGGCTGTCTCGTTGGGAGGGGAGCTCAGGCGCCTTCTTCCTGGTGCCGCGGACCGGGGCTGGAAGCTCCAGGGCCGGGGGGAGGGGGCGAGGGTGCCGGGTGCTGACCGCCGTTGGCTCTTGGCCCCCTCCCCGGAGTGGCTGGTGGGTGGAAGCTCGAAGGGGGCTGTCTCGTCCTCTCCCCTGGGGGTCCCCCTACGAGCTGCGTCCTCTCCCCGCCAGGCTCCCTGGGGCGAGGGCTAGAGGGTTGAATGCCACCCGGTGCCCGGGTCCAGTCTTGCTGAAGTCGCTGCTTCCCAGGGTCGGGGGAGGGAGGGGGAGCCGAGAGAGGAGCTTCTCCCCTCCGCTGCGTCTGCTGTTCCGCTGGCGGCGGCTGGGTTTGCACGGCCGGAGGGAGTCACCGCGGCCACTGCTTCCAGGACGCACGAGAGCAGAGAGGAGCGCACGCACGCAGACTCCCGCCGCCCCCAGGCCTGGCCGGCGCCCCGGCCGCAGCGGCTGGCGGCGCTCACGTTGGCTGCAGGGCGCTCACGCGGCGCCTGGGCCCGGGTCGCATCCCTTCCCTCTCGCACTCGCCCGGAATGTGGGGTTGTGATTGTTACTCTACGTTCCGGAGGCGCGTCTCGGCGCTCCCGCTCGCGCTGCGGCTCGCGCTGTCCCCGGCTTGGCCGCGCGGGATGCCGCCCGGGCGGAGCGCTGACGTCACCGCCATGCTCTGCACCAGTTCTCCCCCCCCCTCACCCCCCACTTTTACACTTCCTCTGTGGAGCCCACTTGTTGCTCGGGAAAGGCGCATGCGCGGCTGGATGCCCAGATTCCTCTCAGTGGGCCCCTCCTCCACGCCTCCGCCCTCCCCTCCCCCGCTCGCCGTGTGTGTACAACAGCTGAGGCCTTGCGAGCTAATGCTGGAAGTCCAGCGCTGGGGGTGGAAATTAAACAGACGATGACCTTTCCTTTCCCTGCCCGGCTTTCCCAAGTAAAAACGCATTTAAAAACCACCAGCGTCCTTTCTGATCCCGCTCCCCACCCCACCCCACCCTGGGCAGTGAATTTAAATGTCCTGTTTCAGATTTTCGCTGTGAATTTCATATAGGGTATTACCCATTTCATCTGCAGTCAAACCTTTTTCCCCCCCGGTATGGATTTACATTCATTGCTACCACTAATGCTGAAGCACCTGCAAAATTAGCTGTTTTCCAATCTTTCAGAAACTGCCTTTTCGATTTGTTTTTGTGCCCTGGTCTAGAACCTGAGCTTCAGCGACCGAGCTAAACGAATTCGGGGTGAGCTACCCCTCCCCCGCAGCCTCAGTCTAAAATTTTTGGCTGAGTGTCTAAAGAAGCTACGAGCACCCGGAGGCCTTTAAGGAAAACAGTCAACTGGCTGCGCACAGCTGCAGTTGGGGGCAGGGAGGGGAGGTGCTGGAGAGGCCAAACAGGTGAGAGGTTTCTCCGGGTTTGATAAAAGAAGGTGGGGCAGCGTTTAATAGTATTGAAACCTCTTCGTAAAACACGGTGCAGTTGACGGAGTTCTTTCTCACGTGCTGTGATTTCATTCCATAGTGCCCCAGAAGGCTGAGCAAGGCCATGATTTCTTTTCCTGTTAGGAGATCACTGCTCATCATTATTGCTTATTGTAGAAACAGATATGTTGGTCCATAGTTCTAGTTGGGACATTTCAACTGATTCTTCTTAGTATTGGGTCTGTTCGGGTGGAGCTTGTTTGTTTTGTTTTTCCCCCCTCATGAAAATTGAGAGAATCCTGGGTAAGGTTGGAGGAGGGGTAGCAATAATGGGATTTCAGGTTCTGGAGTCCGGCATATCAGGATGGAATTTCCTCTCCATCACTGACAGTAAGTTCTCAGTTAATGTGGTCAATAGGTTCTGCTAACCTTAAGCAGAAACCAATTTTACCATAGGCTAATTGATATAAATGAGTGTTAGGTTCCTACAGCATTTCATCAATATCAACGTTATCATGAAATGACCTTGAAAGAAATGCTGTTATTGAAGGACCTGCTGTATTGGCTTTGTGACCTTGAACTAATTACTTACTCTCATAACCTCTGTTTTCCATCTGCAAAATGGGATCATAGCTCCCAGCTTATTAGGACTGTTTGAGATTTCATTTTGTTTCTTGCCATAATAGGAGGTAAGGCACTGAGACTTGCTGTGAGCCAGACACTGCTAGGTTGTTTACTTGCATCATAATTAAACCCTCAATATTATCTACAAGGTAGATTCTGTTATTAACTCTGTTTTACAGGCTCAGAAAGGAAAGAGGAGGTTAAATAACTTGCCCAGGGTCACACGGCCATTAGAGACAGAGCTGGGATCTGAATCCAGTAAATCTGATTTGGGAGGTGGCTTTGACAAGCTTAGATTCTCAGAGGTGGTTTGAGGTGCTCAAAATTTCCATCACCTCCCCCCCCTTTGTTATATACAATCTCTTGTAAAGTACTATGCAAATATCCCTTCAGAACCAACCCCCATCTTCTTCCAAACAGATTGTGCTACTGAGTTCTTCCACGTATAGAAGTTGCGGATCTGCCATTGCCACAGACTCTAACATAAATGCATCATAAAGTATGTATAGCATAGCATCAGTCTCACAGGAAGCTGTCAGTGTTGGTTATTATTACTATTAATATTAATGTTAGTACTACTGCTAGTTAACGTGAAAGTACTTTGTAAATTGCATAAAATGTAAGGATCATTATTCTGACGACTATTACTGCTAATTGTAATAAAGTTCAGTTAAAGCAAAAAGAAGTATTTATTTTTATTTTGACACTTGACCTTCAGAATCTTCCAGCACTCCCAGTACATGATCTCCCACTCATTCTGGAGCCTTAGGTGCAAAGGAAGGGGAGTTTTTAAGGATAGGGAGAAAGGGGAAAGGAAGAGCCCTAGGGAGCCCCTCTTTCATCTCAAAGCAGCCAGATTTCTGTTTTTGCAAAACAGTGAGCTCACTGTGCACTCCCCAACAATAATAAACTTTCCCTGGCCTGGCTGGCTCCGGGCAGTGATTCCTCTGTAAAGAGCCGCCCCAGGAGCCTTGCCTCACCCTTCCAGACTACAGCCCTCCCCATACCACAGCTAGCCTGGAGTGAGTCAAAACATAGGGCTGGGAAATGGAATGACATCCTCATCAGCCCAGAGCTCCGGGCTCATTAGCGTTGGCTAGGCTGGTTTGCCCCCTTCTTTACATTTATATTTATCAGCCCTTCCCTTTATTAAAACAAAAATACTGAGGACTAGCAATCTAGCCCCAACCCTCTATCCAGGCTGCTAGAGATAGCAAGTTGGATTCTGTCATAGTGTTATGTTTGGTATGCGCACACACGTCTCCATCTCCTCTGTCTTTACCCTGATACTAAAGGACACACACACACACACACACACACACACACACACGATATCTTAAGACACAGTAAGAAATAAACATGCATTTAAACAAACTTCCATATAGTCTTCATAATCCTTTAATTTAAAAAGCATAGCTCTCAATACCCTTCCCACCCTCAAAAAAATCACCATCATTTATGGTGATAAATTTCATATGTACGGCTTGTCTGAGATGGCCCTGCTTGGGGATGTGTAAGGGATTGTGAGAGGCAAGAACATCAATGTTTTGGAGATAGATTTTTTCCCTGAAGCAGAATCCCATGTGACAATACTGTGTCCCCAGGGGGAAGGAACTGGGATGGGGGCGGGGTTCAACCAAAGAAACCAGGTGGAGAAAGGGACAGAACTCTGGCGGTAGGTTCTGGGAGACTAATTGGCCAAGCCAGGCTCAACCAGACACAAGGAGAAACGCCTGCAGCCCTTCCTAAAGTTCCTTTCTACCTACGGTTGTTGTCTTACCCCAGCTTGCCATCTGAACTTGCACCCTCAGAGAACTATTCTCTAAACTGGAGCACAAGGTCAGCTCTCCACTTGGCCTTTTTGGAGGCCACAATCAACATTAGAGGTGAGAAGGTCGCAGCGCACCCATGTACTTCGAAGCTCTCTGTCCTCCCCTACCCCACCCCCACCCCCCACCCCCGCTGGTTTGTGGCAGAGATGGGTCGGGCAGGGGACTCCTAGGCCTGGCATCCCTGCAGCCAGCTGGCTGGGCCTTCGAGGAGGCCCAGGCTGAATCTCGAGTCACCCCACTGCAACGCGCGGCCAAGCGCTCCAGCAAAAGAAAGCCCTTTTTTGGTAACAGCCCCGCGGGTAAGCAGTACCCGGTTCTTCGGCCCGCTAGAGCCGCCTCAGAGTGGCGAAAACAAACGTCTGGGTTGGGCGCTCCGCTGGCCTTTCCAAGGGCCCCCACCTCCGCGCGCCAGGAACCCCCGGGGCTGTGGGGGTGGAGGAATCGAGTCAGCACGGTAATTTACACATTTACTCGCGGGCCGGTTCCGTGGCGGAAGTATTTGCCTTTTCCTAAAGGATTAATTCTGGTATTAAAAAAAAAGAAAGTATTAGCTTAGACCAGGGCGTAGGGTTACGCAAGAGCCACTCGAGCGTGAAATCCCAGGAACTACGTGATTCGCTGAGAACCCCGGGAGAGGGGAGACTGCATCACCCGCCAGGACCTGCCCAGCCTGGGGCGCGCGGGCAGCCGGGCGCTCTGCAAAATTGGGTGGAAGGAAAAGGAGGACTTGGTAGTTGATGCTGGCACAGTGGCCGCAGCGAGTGATCAGATCTCTGACTGCTTTCTTCCTGAAGGGGCGGGGAGCAGGGAAGGGAAGAAAGGCGGTAGTGGTGGTGGGGTGAGGGGAGTCGCGTCTGGTTCCTGCCTCCTCCCCGCTTCCTTTCCTTGCCAGTGTGCCAGGGCACGAGGGAGCCCAGCGCTATCCTCAGCAAAAGCTGATGTGTTTTTTAGGTCCAAAAATAAAGGAACCCTGGAACGAGCCTCCCAGGGATCAGGCCTAGAGGAAAAAAAGGGGACGCGCCAGACAAGGGTGCTATTCACTCACCCGGTAGAATTAAAACAAACACCCATACCCGGATAAGGAGGGTAGCTGGGAAGGGGGGCGAGAATGGGCGGAGAGCCTGGCGGGCCGTCAAGGCCACAGGTGCGCATACCCGCAGACCCACCACTCCACCCCGCATGCGCAAGAGCCTCAGCAGGGAGCAGGAGTGCCAGTAGGTTCCCACCGGACTGCACCAGAGCTGGGGATTTCCAGGGTCCTGCTTCGGAGACCCGTCGCCGCCGGCGCTTTCCTGCTGGGGCCGCCAGAAGGCGGGGTCTCAGAGCTGGAGGCCCTCCCTGCGGCAGTCTCTCGGTCAAATCTGGTACAGGCAGCCATAACTGATGTCCCTGGGTGAATGGGCCTGGATCTCCAAATATTTTGACTTGCCTAAACTGGGCGGTTCAATCCAAAACTCGGGAAACAAGGGAGAAGGCAAGGTGCTTAGGATTGAGTACGTATTTATAGTATGTTGTTCAACTTGGACTTGGCTGACCCTAAATAGTTGTGTGACCTTGAGCAAATCACTTGAACTTTGGTTTCTTAGTCTGTAAAATGGGAATAATAGCACTGCCCCCTTTGCCTGCCTCATTGGTTGGTGTGATAGATATAATATTATACTTAATCAAATGTAAGAGATTTTGAACAATATAATAACCAACATTTGTTTAAGGCTCTGAAGTTCATTCCCAGACATTATCTCACCAATCCCCACAGCGGCCCTGTGAGGTAGGTGTTACTTTCATCACCCTCCTGTATAGGTGAGGAAAGCAGGTCCAGAGCTGGTCCACAATTACTGAAACCAGGTTCTCTGGCTCTAAACCCAACATTCCTTCTGCTGCCTCACCGGTTGCTAGCCATTTTGGGGGCTAGCCATTTTGGGGGCTAGCTTCTTAGAAACCCAGATGCTTCTAAGAAACTGCAAGAATGTCCAATTCTTCTCCCCCACAGGAGTTTGCAGGTTAAGAATACCAGTACCGTCCCAATAGATGCAATATCATGCACAAATGAGCACCAGTTCTTTTGGAGTTAAAAATCAGTTGTCATTCAGCTTTGAGCAAAACTGTGTAGCTATGCTTCTCTGGCATCCCCTCAGACTTCTCTCTCTCTTCCAGGGTTTTCTATACCCTGGCTGTAGGCAGAGGGAATGGAGGAAAATCTGAAGCTCTAGAACACACAAGTATTTAGGAACTTGACCGAGTTGTCCTTCCTGGAATGACTGCATTTTAAATGTTCACACCTGAGGAGGACCCCTGGCCTGATGATGAGAGGGGAGGAGGAAAGTGGACAGGGGGCATTTTATAGTGGAAGGAGCCTCTTCCCAGAACCACAGGTCGCAGGTCATATCACACAAGTAACAATCCTTTGTTCTCACCTAATTCAGGTCACACCTACTGTACACATCCACCCAATATGTACATACCATCCTACACTTGAGCTAAAGGCTACTTGATGACTATGGCAGGCTGCTGCTCTTAGGGCATTTCTAGCCTAGGGGAAGCCTATAACCCTGACAGTCAAACCTGACCTAGGTATCACTGGAGCTAGAAATCGAGGAAGCAGGTGGCCCCCCAACCCTGACCCATCTAGAGGACCACCACCATGCTTTGACATGAACTTCCCTTTCTGGCTGCACCCAGAGGATCCAAGTCTGACGTGTCCCTAGTAGGTGTGAAACTATTCTCATCATTTACATTTTGTTTCAAAGCTGAAACTTGGCAGCCAGATGGCCTGGTGGCTTTCCATTCCCAACTCCTTAACTTGTGCCCCTCCATTTGCCATTCATTCAGTTATTCAACTATTTATTTAGACAATATTTTCTTTCTCAGACCTTGGGATTTGATGACAAACCAAGTCAGATTGGCTCCAGCCCAAAATCTAGAAGCTTCCATTTCCTCCTAAATGTCCTAATTTCCTGATGCAATAGCCCAAAAGTCATTAGAGGTAGTGCTTGTTCAACACTGCCACCAGCCACATAACTGACTTAGAGCAATCTATTTATTCTCTGTGGGCCTCAGTTTCCTCATCTGTCAAGTGTTGATATTAAAACCTATTCTCCCTACTTCAGGGGATTACTGTGAAATTCTGTATGTTAATGTCTAGGGCTTTAGAAAGGTGACCCATTGTCATGAATCTCTTTTCCTGCACTAAGTCCTTCTAGGTAAAATAGCTAGAAAGCAAGGGCCTGATGCTGAGGCCTGTCCACACTCTTCATCTTGCTCTTGGCGGGTTTCCTCCTGGGGTGGCAGCCTAGCATCTCTGTTCTTCTGGGCTGACAGACAAAGAAGCAGTAACTGCCCCTGGACCTGAGAGCTAGAGCAAGACAATAGCAAGGTTAGGCTGTCTTCTCATGGCTCCTTGAGGGACAGGACTTCCTTTTCCCAGATCCCTGGTGGTGCCAAAGCTTGCAGCAGTTAGATTTATTTGGGGCTTTTACTTTTTTTGTTTTGGTCAATTTAGGAAGAAAAGAGGCAGTGACCTCTTCTTTAAAAAACAAAACGAGGCAGGAAGTGTGCTGTGCCTGAGTGGCAGGGACTAAGGGTGTAATTACAGGTTTTTGTTCAGCGTTTTCATGTAATTAAATCTAAAGGAAAGCGAGAGCCTGGCCTAGGCTTCTTGGATGCAAGGTAGACAAGAGTGTGTGTGNAGGTTTTTGTTCAGCGTTTTCATGTAATTAAATCTAAAGGAAAGCGAGAGCCTGGCCTAGGCTTCTTGGATGCAAGGTAGACAAGAGTGTGGGGGGGGGGGGGGGGGGGAGGCAGGAGGTGAGAAATGGATTTGCTTTTCAGGCTGAGAAGAAGCGGGTTCTCGCATTTATTAATATCTTTACATTCCTTTTCCAAAAGGTAGCCAATTATTCATCTTTTATTCGGTGCCACTGCACTCCCCTTGGTGACATTTCCCTACCATGCGCAGCCTTCTCAGCACTGATTTCCCTTCAACTGTAGATAGACTCTACCCCTCCCCACTTTTTCATATTGCCGCTTTCTGCCTGGCTGCCCACACAATAAACCTACTGCAAAATCCACAGCCAGCTTTCTTGCCTACAGAGTTTAGATACCAGCGACCTCCGACGCTGCAAAATTGCACCTCCTTTTGTTTTGAACATCTTCTGGCGCTCCCTGTTCCGCTTTACAATAGCTCCTACCACCTCCGCCCCATCCAGCCCTCCCCGCGGCTGCCTCGGTTTCCCCCGGCATTCAGTCTCTGTGCACTCGAGCCCGTGATCTGCAACGCCCAGAGCGTTCCCAGAGCGTTCGAAATGGGAACCAAGCCTCCGGCAGCGCGGGCTCCCCTCCCCTCCCCTCCCCTTTCCTCTCCCTCCCCAAGCCCTCGGTGTCCCTCTGACGTTTCCTGGACGTTGTGAACTGGCAGCAAGAATGGATACACTGTCTGCTCACATTCTTAAGGGCAGGAAACTTGACCCACCCCAAACCACGCGCTCCAAAGTTAGGGCACTTGCATTTTCCCGGAGGGCGGGCCTCTGCAAGGGTTAGGGGCTGGCCTTGGGCACCCCTTCCTCCTCCTCCTCCTCCCATCCCGCATCATGCCCGCAGATTACCAACGCCCCCACTCCTTACGCCCCCTTCACCTACTCTTCCCAAGAACAGATTGTTTATCAGAACGGGCAGCCAAAAAACCTACTCCTGTTTCTAGCCTCTGCCAGAGATTAATCACACTTGGGAAAGGCACAAAACTTGACTGTGTTGAGGTGGGGCGGAGGGGAACGGGTGGAGGGGGTAGTTAAAAGGAAAGCCCAATAATTTTGACATTCGACAAGCTGACCAAATTGGTGTTACCTTTCCCCTCCTTTAAGTTAAGCAGAGGACTGAGTTCTATTTCATTCCCACTCTGTCTACCCCTGTACCCCCACCCTCATATTCCCCTTCCTTCTCCCTGTAAGTCTTCATGTTTGATGCTTTAATAGTACTGCCTGGCTTTTAATTCTTATGAACATTCTCAACTGCTCTGTGTGTGTGTGTGTGTGTGTGTGTTGGGGGCTAGAAAGACACATTCACAAACCTGAGCGTCTGACAAATCCCCCCTTTTCATCCTTCCCTTTGAAATGACATCAAGATGGACTGGGAGGGGGGAGTGGGGATGAAGAGAGGAGGAATGGAAAAAAGAGAGGGAGGGGGAAGCAATTTATGTGCTTTTCTAAGGCAGCTAGTAAAATTCCTGAGGGAGAACCAATGCCAAAATTGACTGTCTTGGTGTATTTTAGACACGATCTTCAGGGTGAATCATGTCAGGGCTTTGCACTGGACCTGCAGCCTGGAAGCCAGGGACAGGCACACAAAACATCCCTGTGTCTGGGAGGTACACTTCTGAAGGAGGCAGGAGATAGGTATTTGCTCTCACCAGATTCCTCTCTGTCAGGATTTTTTTCCCCCCTAACTCATTGCAAGATGGATTTTTTTTTTAACGGGGGCTGATAAATAAAAAAACAGGGATAGAAAATGCCCCATAAAACATGGCCCCCAAAGGAAAGGTGCAAAACCCATTTGATCCAAGATATAGATATCTCCACCCTGAATTTTTTTCCCTTTGCTTTACAACTCTGCAGACATCAGGTTAGCAAAAGGTAATAAATAGTCCTTGCACAGCAGGGTCTGGGCTAGTGAAAACAGTTTACTGAAATTAATGGGCTTGGCTTGAACCAAAACCTCCACTTTGGAATTAATGCCAGACATAGTTTTCCTGAACTCTATCCAACCGCCTAAGCGGCAGACAATTTTTGTTCTATTTGTGCTGGAAAATAAAGCCCGGACCCTTGATCTCAGTGTAGATTATAATTAAAAAAAAATTCAGCACAGTGAACACTATACCAATTTCCAGTTTCTGCTAGAAGTCCTGTGCTCTGGGATAGGGCTCCATGGTGTGACTGTCAGAAGTTATCTGGTAAACTTTCCATTGAAAACCATCTCCCGACTCCCGCCCCATCGGTGGCCTCAGAGCTTTCACCATGACATCCGAGAGATTCAAGAAAAGCTCCAGAAACCAGCTCGGTTCTCAGTTAACAACCCTCTACCCCAGGGCTCTTGGAAACGCTGCCTGCATGACCTCCATTCCCCACCCTAAAATGAAGCTCCAAAACACCCAGCCGAGACCCACCCCGCCAGCCGTCCCCGGCACTCAGGGTGTCTACAGTTCTGAAACTCCTTTTATTTTTACTAATGTATTTTTTTAAGGTTACGAGGCGCGCGCATGCACACACACACACACACACACACACACACACACACACACACACACACACACACAGATTCAGACCCAGTGGTTATGGCAGGTACCGCGGAGACAGGGTGCCCTGGCTGTCAGTGTCAGATCCCAACCTGCCCTCTCTCCACCTCCCTCCTATTATTA